CTAGGGCACACAGCAGTGTCCCAGCACAAGTTTCTGACTGCATTTTGTTAAATGACTAATCCTTGGGATCTCTTTGTGCTGAATTGGGTCTTGGATTCTTTTCTCTCTGTTCTTCAGTCAGGACTGTGGCATCTTACAATTCCTCAGACTTTACTAGCCTACAGTCATCTAGTGCATGAGAGTGCAGATCATGGAGTTTATAATAATACTACCCTCCACACCTTTAGGGAGCCAGTGTACAGGCCATGTAAACACAAATGCAGATTTATTTAATGGTGAGGGGAATGGGTTAGCCTCAATGGCAAACAGCGCTCAACAAACTGCAATAGTACAAACTCCTCTTAGGGCCCAACCCAGTGCCCACGGACGTCACTGGGGGCCTTTTCCTGGTGTTCGGTAGGCTTTGGACCAGGCTCTCAATGCCATGCTGCCTTATCTACTGGGAGATGGAGTGTGGCTATACTGTAACCTCAGCTTTGGCCAGACTGGACTGACTACTCTCAGGAAGCACAAGCATGCCTCAGAGGGTGGGCAAACTGAGTGGTGCAGGTGGCACAGCAGAGTCCCAACGACTTGCCTGCATATAACTATTGCTCTTGATCGGTCCCAGGAGCACCTCAGAGCATGAAATGAACCTATTTGTGAGGCGCTGCACTGGCATCAGCTGCTGAAATAAACTTGGTTTAAGAGTGTCCTCAATCTATGCTAAAGTCTGTGTGACCAGACCTTCAGCTGCCATGGTGATGACTGGGGGGAGGGCTGTATTTTACATCCAAAATATACCCCACACAGTGTTCAGAGGCTCTCTGCAGGAGCACTGGTTCAGGCCTGCTTCAAAGGAAGTTGTCACTAACTGAATCTGGTGATTCCTCCATCAGCTAGGAGTCCTCAGTTACTGACCTGTTCCCTTTTTGCTTTAGCTTAGGAGATCTCGACAAGGTTGCTGCACAAGGTGGAATCGCTGCTTACAATAGAAAGCCTCTTGCAGTGAGTCACATGAGTTTGTTGAACTCTCGCTGGTGTAATAAATAGAATATCTGAGTGCCCGTTGGCAGTTGTTTGGATATCTACATTACCACCACACTTGATGTATGTGACTTCCTAGAAACTTCCCTATCAGTCATTTCTTTAATGCCTTCTGACTTGCAAACCATAAGAGCTTTAATTTTAAAAGATTGGCTGCAGCTGAGGAGAAAAATTATGGCGTTTCCCCTGAGCACCTAGCGATTCCGCTTCGAGATTTACAGTGTATTCTGGCATTAAAAAAAGAGTCACGACCCTGAGTTAGAAGACGAGAAGGCAGAGAAAGCCCAGGAAAAAGAGAATGTGTCAAGCAGTGTTCGAAGATGCTGTTCATTCTGCATTTTTTCTCAATGTGGGTATTTGGGATGGGGGAAGGACAAAGGAGGCAGAGGATGGATGGATGGAAAGACAGTGGAGAAAGAACCTCAGGGTCATACGGTCTCCCTGCTCCCAGGATTCAGGAGGGGAATGGGATTCTGTGGTTCCAGGCTAGGAAGTGGAGCATTGCTAATACGGACGGCTCTGAAGTGCCCAGAGTTTCCCAAAGGGATATTTGAGACCTAAGCGTAAAGCCCTTTGCAGAAAATGTCCAGCCAGCAACACCACCTGTTTTAAACCAATGGGGCTGCCACTCACCTGCTTTTAGGGATCACAACTGTTGCTTGTAGGGCATGAGGTCTAGTCACCTGAGTAGATACGTAGGGGGCTGCGCAGGACTATACTTGGGTGGCTAGCCTGAGCCACACCCATGGCTGCACTGCTATTTGTAGTGGAGCAGAGCTAGCACATGTATGTCTACCTGAGCTGGGAATGACATCTCCCAGCTGCCGTGGAGACATAGCAGGGTGGTCACAGTCCATTTAGGACTTATGAACTCCAGCTCTTTGTCAGGCTCTTTTGCAGCTTAAAGAAATGAACAGGTGGATATTGTATCAGAATTTCTTTTTTTTTAATGTGAAAAAAAAACTAACAACGAGAACAGTATAGATCTCTAACTTGGATTCTTCCATTCTAGTGTGGATGGGCCTTTTCTTTGGCAATAGAAATAACTGAAAAATAATTAATCAATCAGCATCCATTTTCAAAAATGTTTAAGGACCTCACCTCTTCCCACCCACAAAATCCCTGCTGTCATCAAATTCAGCCTGGAAATAAGGTACGCATATTTAACAATACGGGTAATTAACCGTTGGAACAATTTACCAAGGTTGTGATGGAGTCTCCATCACTGACAATTTTTAAATCCAGATTGACATAAGAACGGCCATACTGGGTCAGACCAAAGGTCCATCCAGCCCAGTATCCTGTCTTTCGACAGTGGCCAATGCCAGGTGCCCCAGAGGGAATGAACAGAACAGGTAATCATCCAGTGATCCATCCCCTGTCGCCCATTCCCAGCTTCTGGTAAACAGAAGCTAGGGACACCATCCCTGCCCATCTTGGCTAATAGCCATTGATGGACCTATCCTCCATGAACTTATCTAATTCTTTTTTGAACCCTGTTACAGTCTTGGCCTTCACAACATCCTCTGGCAAGGAGTGCCACAGATTAACTATGTGTTGTGTGAAAAAATACTTCCTTTTGTTTGTTTTCAACCTACTGCCCATTAATTTCATTTGGTTCTTGTGTTATGAGAAGTAGTAAATAACACTTCCTTATTTACTTTCTCCACACCAGTCATGATTTTATAGACCTCTATCATATCCTCCCTTAGTCGTCTCTTTTCCAAGCTGAAAAGTCCCAATCTTATTAATCTCTCCTCATGTGGTAGCCGTTCCATACCCCTAATAATTTTTGTTGCCCTTTTCTGAACCTTTTCCAATTCCAATATATCTTTTGTTAGATGGGGCGACCGCATCTTCACACAGTATTCAAGATGCGGGTGTACCATGGATTTATATAGAGGCAATATGATATTTTCTGTCTTATTATCTATCCCTTTCCTAATGATTCCCAACATTCGGTTAGCTTTTTTGACTGCTGCTCTACTCTAGGAATTATTGCGGATGCAGCTCTGTGGCCTGTGCTGTGCAGGTCAGATTAGATGATCACAGTTGCCCCTTCTGGTCCAGGAATCTATGAATCAAAGCCGACTCCCTGTTCTATACTAGCTAGAGTCCTTAAGGGAGACATTTATTTCCTATTACTTCCATACAAAGGTCCTGCACTGAAATATTTTGCATACTTTTTCAGACCTGCAGGAAACATTAAGCACACACAAAAGTACAGCTATGAAACCAGTCAGTTCAGAATCAGTGGGGGAATTGGTGGTTGATTTTCTCACAACCATGATGAATAAATCCAGTAGATTGCCTCGTTTTGCATAAATGCATCTTATTTCAAACTAATAATTAATACCAGCTGTTGAACCAACAGAGCTAGTGGGCACCCTTGCCTTTGAATTTTGTAATATATTGAATGCTTGGTCTCTTTACATGGATTTTTTTCAATGTCTTTTATTTAAAAAAAAAATCTTTTTACGCACCTATTAGCTAATTGCTGCTAGGTGAACAGCCATTAACGAGCCATTGTCTACCTACCTTAGACTGTAAAATACCATTTGAAAATATAAAAAAGGCATGTATGTATTTAAAGTAATTATGTTACAAGTACAGATTTCACTGCCAAAATGTGTTAACATATAGAATAACAGGCAGAGAGGGAATGTGGTCTAGTAGTTAGAGCAGTACTCCTCCGGTCTGATCCTGCAAGCACACATACACATGAGTAACTTTATGCATTTGCAGTTACTCATGGGCATAGTGACCCATGCAGGACTGGGCCACTGGGTTATATTTTCATGTCTGGCCTGGCCCTTTCCCTGACAGAGGGTATGTCTACACAGCAGCTGGAAGTGTGATTGTAACTTGGGTAGACATACCTGCGCTAGCACAGCTAATAATAGTTGTGTAGCTGTGGCATCAAAGGCATCAGTGTGGGCTGTCCGAGCATGCCAGGAACCCTGGAGACATATTGCATTCCTAGACTGTGCTGAAGCTCCAAGCTGCTGCATCTTCACTGCTATTGTTAGCTGTGCTAACACAGGTATGTCTACCTGTGCTGCAGTCATACTTTTGATTGCAGTGTAGACATACCCATAGTCACTTAAAGCTAAATTTCTAAAAGTGGTTGCTAATTTTGGATGTCGGGTTTGGATCCCATGGATTTAAAGTGGATTGCCACAGATTTGCAGGGCTCTCCTTTTGAGCATCAGGTCCTGAAGAAGAGTTCTGAGTAGTGCTAAAGTTTGTCTCTCTCACTAATAGAATTTGGTCCAATAAAAGATACTACTTCACCCACCTTGCCACTCTGAACATCTTTTGACATTTTTGCTGGTAACCTTAGGAGTTTTTCTCCCATTTACTAAATGGGCTTACTGATACCAACAGCTTTTCCTTAGTGAAAGCTAAAGTGCAATAAGGACTATGGATGAAAAGCACTTATCAATTTTAAGTATTTGTATGCATTAATTGACTTTTGTAGTGTGCTTGGCGCTCTCTGGCTGGCAGACCCAATAGACAGGTCAAATGTTATATTACATATGGATGTAGTTTGAAAAAGCACACACCCTTGTAACACATTTGGAGAAAATCATTTGGGATGGGGAGATGTTTTAGGTTCATATTTTCCCTAATACTTTGTTTTTTTGAAAATGGAAATTGTTTCCAATCCAGTTCAGGATGTTACACTTAACTCATTTCTGAGATAACTTAGATACAGTTTCTACAACCGAGTACAGAGGGTGATTGAGACTATAAAGCAAAGCCTTAAAACCACTGGATTTTTCTGCCTACTGGAATTCCACAGTGAAACCATTTTATACCCAAGGAATTTAAGGAGAAAAAGTCTGGACATCCTCTTCCTTTCTACAGCAGCTGTTTTCACTTTGTATTTTAATGAGTGGGCTGAACTAAAACCATCGGGGAAGGGCTTCCCCCTCTGGCACCCTCACATAAAAGGCTTTGCTAGTGTGTCATGCTTTTTGCCTGTGTGAAATGAGTAAATACCTATAGCTGGACAGTTCAAAGAAAGGGCTTCATAATGTTCTTGACGGTTAAGTTCTTTGGTACAAGCTTTTTTTGATTTCCCTGGATTTCAGTCTGATGTGCCTTTAGCCTCACAAAGTGAGTATTTAAACTTCTGAAAATGTAAAATCTTTGCAGTCCTTTTTTAGGTTTTCCAGCATAAATAATTTTTGAGTCTCTGTTGATTTTGGAGGTAGATTCTGTTTGAACTACTGCATTATATGTTCCCTGTTAACTGTAAACATCTTTTCTGCATGATTTATAATCATGTTCCATCTTTGTAAAATGCTTTGAGATCCTGGTCTGAAAGGGTCTATATAAATGCAGTGTTGTTATTGTGCAGGAAATATAGTGGAACATGTTCCACATGTTGATTTTCTTTACATTGTAAACACTAAATGTGATATATTAAACATTATTGACCTTGTTTCCAAAGGGAGTAGACTTTAAAGGTTAAGCTCTACCTTCTCTTAGATGGTTTCTGACTGTGCTGAGTGATTTTTATCCTGTATGTGTTGATCACTTGTCTAATCAGTCTGTCTTATATGTGCTGAGAGCCACTGCTTTTTGGATTTTAATTCAACTTTATATCAACCAGAAAATTTCCCATTCCTTTAAGTTCTTTCTGATGCTAAACAGAACCGAGAAAATGGTGAAAGTGGTGTTCCTTTTTGCTGGTTTTCCTTCAGCATTAGATTGCATTTGCTAAACTCAGCAAATAGCAGAATTCCCCCTAGAATACTGGGAAGCAGCCCAAAAAAAAAAAAAAAATCTACGGTTACATTTTGCTGGAGGATTCTTGTAGAAGGTTGGGGTTTTTTTAAATGGTCTGCTGAAATACTTTGTTAGAACTACATTCCTGGCTGGTACCATTCTCAAAAAGGCAGCTCTGTTAAATTTCCGTAAATGAACCTCCACAAATCAAAAGTACAACAGAGCCCCTCTATATGTAACTGCAAATGCAAGTTAATTATTAGCAATAGAAGGGAAACCTTACTATAGACAAGCCAGATAACAGTATTTGCCTCTGAGGAATATTGTACAACACGGGGAAGCAAGAGGAGCTCAATTTGTAGCCATTTAAAAGTGATTTGTTTTTCAAATGTTTTGCTAAAGTTACTGTCCCAAGTTGATAGAAAATAGGAGCTGAAACCAAATCAGGGATCCAAACTTCCTTGAACTTCACATCTGGTTCTGAACTTCACAGCTATACCCTGAATCATTGATGGCTAGACCCAACTTGGTGATTCACGTCCATCACTCATAGCAGGGTTAAGTTATTTAAAGAGTATTAAGGCTAGATTCTGCTCTTGGTTACATCCTGAGTAACTCCTCTGAATTCAGTGATTCCAGATTCAGTGATTTACACCAGTGTGACTGAGCAGATTTCTGACTCTTCAGGTTTAAAATCACGTATATGGTTTGTGTTTAATACTTTCATTGACTCTGAAATGAGAACTCTGGGCTGGATCCTCAGCCCTGTTCTGCCTGTCTTGAGCTGCTCTGGCAACAGAAAGGACCTGCCGAAGTAAGATTTCCCCCATCTTTGGATGGCATAGAGCTCACATGTCCAGCTCTAAGCCAACCCTTCCCAGCTCCTAGTCTACAGGAGACATGACCATGCTGACCTTGCAGTCCAGGAATTCTCAGCTGCTGGAATAGCTCCTTGGGATCATAGGCCCCATGTATTACATAGAGCAGCCCTGAGGCTGCTCTAAGTCTTTGTCTTCACTAGTTAAAAATAAGTGTTTTCTTAACTTGGTTAGCTAACTCAAAGTAACAGGAGGCAGTTTGTCATTTTCATGCAAGTTAGCAGGTCAGGTTAAACCCCAGGTACCCCCTATAGACTTTAATGTAACGTGCTAACTCATGTGGAAGCTACAAACTACTTCATCTTCACTGGGATTTTACCATGAATTAAGAGCACGCTTTTTTTTTTTAGTGAAGACAAGGCTTAAGTTACACTGGCTCAAGGATCAAATAGCTGCAAAAGTGGCTAAAAGCGGCTTTTTGCATTCACGTGATCTGGGTTACCGCTAAAGATCTCGCCCTACGTATTTCATGACCATCTTCGCTCTGAATGTTTCCATTAGGTCTCTTTAATATACACACTTAATTTATTTCCATTCTTAAATCAGTAAAGGCTTATTTTCTGTTATTTATCATTGAAAATATCTCATGAGCTAACTGGTTCTAAATGAGGAGGAGTCCCCCTCTGAGGGCTTTATTTGGTGCGTGTGCCTGAGGAGACACTGAACTGTTTTTCTAACCACAGAGATTGATACGAATTAGGCAATGTGACAATATTATTTGATACCTAGTACTCTGTGCCTCAGTTTCTTCTCAAAAGGGTGGATTCTAGAACTGCTATATGATTTGGCACAGGCCTCCCTCCCTAGCGTAAACAGAAAGTCCAAGAAAACAAAAAGTCTTTTCACCCTCACTCAGTGTGTCCTTGTTAGCCCTCCTCCAGGGCTCCGCTGTTACCCTGTATCAAGGCGTGGCAAGTCCATTTGATCCCTTATTCAGGGCTTCCCTCTTGTTCAAGTCTCAGGACTTCAGTTCCCAGCTCTCTCTGGGCAGGGGACCTCTGCCAGTCGCACTCCAGCCCTGGGTCTCTGTGGCGAAACCTCCCACGGCTCTTTTCTTGGTCTTGCCTCAGCCATTTCTGGCTGTTTTCTAGGCCTTCTACCCAGACTTCCCAGCACGTCCTGCCCCCCACCCACCTGGCTCTTCTGCAGGGGATCCTTGCAGGATCCCTCCTCCTCAATGACTGACTACACATGCTCCCTCTTATAGATGGCATCAACCAGGGGCTGCTGACATGTCATGCCCAAACCCATCACCTGGGAGGCAGATAATTAGGCACACATGGGGCTGAGCCCAGCTCCCTTAAAGGGCCAGCCCACCCTGTGACAAGGAGGAAGGATAGCCATGTGGCTAAGGCACTGGACTGGAACTCTGGGTTTATTTCCCAGCTTTGCCACAGACTTCTGTCAGGCAAGTCATGTAATCTCTCTGTGCCTTGGTTCCCCATCAGTAAAACAGGGGTACTAACCCTTCCTCTGTCTGCCGGGTCTGGGTAGACTGTAAATGGCTCAGGGCCAGAACTGTCTCTTACTGTGTGTTTATACAGCCCTAGCATAATAGAGCCCCAGACTTGACTGGGGCCTCTAGGGGCTGCTGTGAGATAAATAATAATAATAATAATAAAGATCAGTTCCTTCAGGGTTTTTATATCCTCTTGTGTGTTCGAACTATTGACTGACTACTTGAAGTCCTGCTGAAAAGTCTATTTAGAAAACATGGTATGTTTTCCTGCTTGTCTCTGTTACCAAGCATTAATAAAAATGGGAGCGTAGATTTTTTTTAAAGGTAAACAGCAATGGAAATAAGTACAGATATATGTACCCTACTAAACAGCCTGGAGTAATATTTAGCACATGAATAAGTTTTAACTTACCAAAAACTTATTTGTAGATCCCACTAAAATCCAGTTCCATCTGGATTCTTTAAAGACTCCCCAGAGCCCAGAATTCCGGGATGTCCTACTATACAAGAAATCCCAGCCAGCCTCTGACTTGGTTGGGATCTGACTTCCAAGAATTATGCATTCAGGCTCCTAGGAATCTGTCATAACTCTAGAAGGACTTAGTAGGCTGTCATGAAGCTTAAATAGGTCTCTGAAGCCTAGTTCTGTGACAAATCAAAACCCTCCCAGGCTGCTGTCTTAGGATCCAAACCTGTGCTCACCTCAATGCTGAGGTCATCTTTGTTGTCTGTTTAAAAATTCTTTGAATGCTAGGTCTCATTCAGTGTCCTGATCTTTTCTGTGTGATGTAATAATCATTTCCATGACAATCAACTGTGGTGGCAGAAAAAAGATTGATGTAGGATGAAGAAAAATAAAGCAGTAGTGGCAAATCAATGGTGTCCTACGTGGTAAGAAAAGGAGGCACAGTAAAATAGAAAATATGGTATATTATATGTATAAGTGTTTGAAAATGGGATGTTATCCAGGATGTGTCACTGGCTGTTTAATGAGTATAGAAAGCTGATATTCTCCATGCCATAAAGAGCAGAACGTTACCTGTCTTTAATTAGATATCTTCTTCTGGACAAGATATACAAGCTGCACAGGAAGGTGTTGTTTTCTCATGAAGTTTAACTGAAACTTGTTGGTGTGTTTCTCTCTCCTTCCTCTCTAATGCTATCTCAAGTTGAATGCTGCAGAAGGGTAGGAGAAGAGATGCAAGAACTAAAATAACTAATGCTGATATTTGAAAGCAGGACGGACTTGGGAATCCTTAGTCATGTAAGTCTTAGTGTCTGAATTATTGACCTCGATTCTGCAATTGGGTAGTGCAGGCTCCCCCTGTTGAAGTCAATGGGGCTTCCAGCAGGTGCAAGGACCTACACAGATAAAAGGTGCAGGATCAGGGCCATAGTTTGGGTTTACACTGGTGTAACTAAAATCAGTAGTAATTCCATTTTAAGTCAGCAGAGTTACTCTGGATTGACACTGGAGTAAATAAGAGTGGTATATGGCCACAGTGCTGATAGCTGACATTCCCGGTGCTACAGGGTTTGTGGTTTGGGTCTCAAAGATGCTTGAAAAGTGCTTGTATGGTTAGATCAGAATAGATTTAGTCTGAGACTTTCAAAGTGGCGTCAAAGAGTTAGGTGCTCAACTCCCATTGAAATTCAGTAATGATCAACCCCTAGCTCTTATCTAGTCTGTTTCATCAGCAAATCTCCATGCGCTTTACAAAGGAGGTCAGTATCATTATCCCTATTCTACAGATGGGGAAACTGAGTCACAGAGCAGGGAAGTGACTTGCCCAGGTCAACCAGCAGATCAGTGGCAGTGGAACCAGGGGGTGAGGGGTTCTAGCACCCTGCAATGAAAACATTGTGGGGGCAGATCTAGGTTTCCATCCCTCCAATGATTTCTGTGGTGCGATTAGGACCCAGATATGTTCCCCCCCCCCACACACATACACGTGTGTGTGTGAGAGACAAGAACGGGATCCAGAGAGGGGCTGGAGCGGCCACCCCAGTGCACAAGATCGGGCTGGCCACCAGGGAGCAGGTAGGGG